GGGGGGTGGGTACTACCACCACAGGGTGCCCCAGTTCTAGGCTGCTCTCTCCTGCTACATCCTCAGGGCAGTGGGATCTCCTTCAGATCCAACTTGGAGTAGTGCCCTGAAGGCTGGAGGTGGCCAAAAAGCCTCAGTTCCCCAGCCCTTGGGAAGGCCAAGAAGGTGCTCTCCTTCTCCCTCTCTTGGTTTGAACCTGAAAGGAAGGAGAAGGACTCCATGGAGAGCCTCTGCTTTTGCTCTTTGCTAGGAATAAGGAGGCAGTGTGGGCAACAAAAGGGGAAAGGCAGAAGAGGGGATAAGCAAAGTAATTTCCCCCTGTTTTTCTGTGTTTGCAAGTGTACCAATAAGCAGTTAATTACAGCACTGAATCGATAGCTATTTTACTCGTCACTGGGGCACAGGACATAGGCCAGGTACCTTGTAAAAAGGGAGAACCCAAACCTTGCTTTCTGAAACCCAAATTCTTGTGGTTACCTGAGTACACTCTTACACATACCCATGTTTAATGTGCCTAGAACTACAAAAGCTACAGGACCTATCCAATCACAAGTATTCTCAGTGCCCTCTAAAGACTGTCTAGTAAGTATTTAAGTGATTCCCTTTCCAGAACTATAACTCTGAAGTCAACACTTCCCCCCTTGTCACCTGCCTGGGTGCCAACCTGTGCCAGGCTCCCTGATCCTGGCTCCCCCAGGTGCAGCAACAGTATGACAGAAGCTGAAAGGAGCATCCTCTGCAGCCCTGGCTCTTCTGAGCCTTGCCACTGCATCCATGACAGCCTTCTGCTCACATCTAAGCAGCCTGCATTCTTTGCTTCACTTGTATTTGCGTCAGATATCTTTTCAGAGCTTTCTCTCCCTTTATTTGTTAGTGATTACAAATCAATGGCTGTGGGTGAGTTTGTATTCAATCCGATAACAAGCATGTTTTATTGTTTGTCATTTATGTAACAGTTTCCAAACACCAAGACTATCTCCTAAGTCACTGTACACTGGAGTCACAGATTTATCCTCCAGGAGCAGGAGCAGAACTGCTGGGAGCAGACTTTTTGATTTCAAAGAGAAAGACTTTACTGCAGCACAGCCATGGATCACAGCTGAATGTGGGATTGGAAAGGAATTTTTTTTTCAGGCTCTTCATGTTTTTTTGTTTTTTGTTTTTTGTTTTTTGTTTTTTTGCCTGCTTTACATATAGTTCCAGAGCAGTGGGTGGTACTCAGATCATCTCCATAAACAAATGATCTGGAAAGCAACCTGGCGTTTAATTTCCTTAACCGATCAGACCCTCCTGAACTTAGGCAGCAGCACATTGGTCTGAAACCTTGACTCGGTATTCTGGGAAGCCCAGAGCGGAGAAGGATGAACTGTTGATTTTTCTTTCCTACTTCTGTTAAAAGGCACCCAAGCATGGCTCTTCCTACCCTGACTAACCTGGGTAGGTGCCAGATGGATTTCCCCTTTCTCTAGGCAATGGCTGAGGAATTTCAGCTGGCTAGGGCCAGGGCTGGAGGCTTTTCAGTGGCCTTTTCATCCCAGCCTGCCCTTTCTCAGCAGCTAATCCCATCTCTGTCCAGATCCACTATTCGCTGGACTGTACTGCTCCTTTACAATCAGCTTGCAGAGGACTAAATTCTGCCTTTTCCTTGTGGAAACAAAGAGATGTGTCTGAAAGAAAAGCTTCCAGCCACTCATGGAAAAAGGATTTAAAATCCTGAGGCTGTGCCTATGGTAGTAGGGTGGGTGGCTGGCCAAAAAAGCATGCTGGCCAGGCTCGTTAAAAAGAAATTTGTATTATGCACTTCTCAGTATTTATCATGGGTAACTAATCTTAAGAAAACACGATCCACAAAGCTGCTGAAAAGCTCGCAGGGAAAAATTTATCTCCTCAATGACTGGAGCTTCTCATCCACTTTGCTTTCTGTGCTGTAAGACACAGCACATGACACAAAGCATATCTGGATTTAGCGCGGGACATGATCACCCTCACCTAATCCTGTAACTGCATAATGTCTTTCTATGCCAACCAAAATCTTTAATTGTCTCTGCTTTTCTTAACATACACTGCAAGCACTCAGAGGGTTATGTTGCACAAATTATAACTCATTCCTCCTCCTTTTTCCTATCAAGCTGTCTCTCATAAAAAAACACACAGCAGAGCTGCATCACTCTAACCAAAGCATCTCCTCCTCCGAGGTGTGAGCAGTGAAGATAGCACATGACTCGCTGTACTGCAGGCTGCCATGCTTTCAAATCCCTCCAAGTACTCAGGAGTTAAGCCCTCCCTGGTGCCCGTGACCCAGGCTATTAGCATGCAGCCCATGTAGTACAGCTCCCGCGGGCAAACATCCACGCACAGCCCCTCAGCGCCCAGCCCTGCACCCGCCTATCAGCGCCACGCAGCACAAGCATCTCCCCAGCCCGCAGCCCACGCTCAATGCAGCAAACCTGGCTCGAAAACGGCAGCTGAACCCTACAGCAAAGAAAGCACTTTGGAGCCTCGGCTTCCCAGCTCACCTGACAGGCTACCGCAGCACTCAACTGCACTAAGAAAACTCCAAGGATTTCCTCATTCTCAAAAGCATAAACAACTTTCAGTTTCTCTTTCTTTTAAGAATCTCATCTATCCACTCCTTCTCAGGCAGTGCCTGACTTGCACTGTTAGAGCCTGGGTAAGTTTTTACCACTGGGAAAATATTTGTTAGAGGAAGCAGCTGTCCCCACTCCTTTCTTTCATATTTTTGGTTCATTCCTCCTAAGGAAACAGTTGCTAGCACAAACCCAGAAATTCCAACTGGCCTTCAGGAGACAGATGCTGTCTTACTGGCCAGTTCCTGTGACATTCATTTTACTCTCAAGCACATTTTAATACATCATTGTTAAAAAAAAAAAAAAAAAAAAAAAGGCAAACATTAAGAAAAAAGCACTACCTCTCTGTGAAACATCTAGCATCTTCAACAAAAAATTGACACCAGTTCCTCCTTCTCCCAAAGCTTAATCCCATCATTGTACAGCCACTATCAGTTCCTAAAATGCATCTTGAAAGATAGCAGAGGTATTCATTGTTTGTCTACTTTCTTTTGTTTCTATCAGTGAATTGAATACGGGTTACATCCCTGCCAATTTTGTTTCCAATAGCATAGGAAAATACGACTATGACAAATTGCTTTTATTACTTCCTTAAACAAAAACTGAAACTTGTCCAAAAAAGCACATGAAAGACTAACTTGGCTGATTTGAGCTTTTGCCAGGTACAGAAGTGATACAATAATGCAATAACTTACACGGATACTGATAAAGCAGTATTTAACAGGGCATTGAAAGAACGCTTGATTTTAATAGTACAAGGGAGGTTAATTGGTTCTTTCATAGCTTGCGCTAAAAATAAAGCAGATTTTCAGTCAAAACAACACATTTCTTATTTTGTATACATGCCACTGTGCTGTCTTATGACCCTAGTTCTGAAGTTCAGCAACACTCAGAAGCCATCCTGACTTCACGGACATCACAGGGGCATGGGATGGGTCCTTACACTCAGTCTGAGCGAGAGCACAGTAATTAAGCATGGCTGTGATGAAACCCCTCCACTTAATAAGCAACAGAATTGGGACTACCACAGGGAATCTCTTTTTGTGTTTGTCTACTTTCCTCACCTTAGCATGTAACCTTGCTGCCCCTGAAACCACCAGGAGCTTTGCAAGGGATTAAAGAGGAAGCAAGCCCAGGTCAAAAGGTGCAAGTCCCTTTTTGTTTGAGGAAATTACACTGGGAACCAGCCAACTCTTCCGAGTGTTACATGTGGCCCTGAAAACATTGTCATGATCCCACAGGGCTGGTTTCGCACTGAGGATGCCGGCGGTACATGAGCCTATGGTCCACCAGTGTGGATACCAAGCCCATCTCAAAGGGACAGCAGTGTGAGCATCTCTATAAATTGCACCAGTCTAGGAGCAGTTCTCATGCTGGGTTATCCCAGCTCGGCATCTTGGCTGCCCTGGCTGTCCCACCTGGGGATCAATGCTGGCATTTGGTCAGCACCTTTTGCACAGGCTTCAGTGCCTTGGGAATGCTGCTTGCTCCTCTGCTATCCTTCTCTTGGCTATTATAATTAGGACAAAAGCCCTGTCGCTTGTTTCAGCTTATTTCAAAATCTAATCCTGTGTTCTGGTTCTCTGCAAATATTTCTATTTAGCCAAATGACACATTTTATGTAGGTGAGGCCAAGAAGAAGGGTGAGGGAGAGATCTACCAATTCATCTCAATTTCCATTTTCAAATACAGTGTGTGAATCTCCTTTACATACACTACAATTCATTCCCTATTTACTCTAGGTACACAGAAAAACTCATAGTGGAGCACTCATTTTCGCAAGCTAATCAAGAACGCTAGGTCCCAACAGATTCATTTAATAGAAATATAGTAGGCATTCCTGCTTGCCTTTCATCTCACCTAGCTGCAAACGCTAAAATGAACAGAGTTAACCCTGCTTTGGAACTAAGACCCCTTTGCAGCTAACAGTGGCTGTGCTTCAGCTTGCAAACACTGCAGGCTCCCCATCAGTGCTTCCTGGCTTTTGCTCTTTCCCCGCAGCAGAGGAGCAGTGAGGAGAGGGCTGTGGGCGAGGAAGCTCTGAGCCCTATGGCTGCGTGTACTGACTGGATGGGACTGAGAGCTTTGGGGCACCAGCCTGGCTGTCTCCTTGCACCACATGGGACCAGGCAGCACCACGAGGCCGTTCACATTCTGACATCAAACATACGAGATTGGCAAGCAATTCAAGATCTTAAATCGTTCACGGATACCAGAACTAGCATTAGAATGCTAAACAGAAACACACACAAAAAGAAAAAAAAAAGAAAAGAAAAGAAAAAAAGAAAAGAAAAAAAAAAAAGTAATATTTCATAATGTATGGCATAATGAACAAAAGCCTTTCAGAAAGAAAAACGGTTTTCACTGTGCTAAAGTAACAATCTAGACTTGTTGTAAGTATGTTATTCTTACAAGTAGTTCGCAGTTATTCTTGAAGGCAAGTCTTGGAGTTTCCTTAGCATAGTGCTGCTGGGGAAAATTTTCAGCATGTCCATCTTCATCTCTAGCCTGAAGGGAAATATAATGGCCTATTTAGGGACTTACAAATAATGGAAGGAAAAAAAAATAGCTAAAAGCATAACAGCTCAGATCATTAAAACAGACGGGAATCCCCAAACACAACATTATTAAAAAGTTTGTTTAAATACACCTTTTAGATACGAGAACCTGCGATGCCGTTCTCTTACACAGCTTAGGTTGAACATGCAAATTCATCGCAGCATAATCATTAGAACAACAAAGGACAAACCCAAAACAAAATATTTGAGCTGGAAACCGTGAGTAACTTCAGGGTTTCCATTTACTTCATTGCATTTTTCAGGATTACATTACATACGTTCTCGTTTCAACTTTTTGACATGCGTAAGCAATCCCTAGATAATGTATTTTCAGTTTAACAGCAAGGCCAAAAAAAATAAATCAGCTTTCATAGTCATATTTTACACGTAACACTATTGTAGACAAACGGACTCCCCCTCCGTGCTTAAGCGAAGATCCAAAAGGAGCAATCAGCTCGCGAGAGCAGCCACCCTTCCATCAAACGCGGGAAAAATGTTTAATTACAAAGATGCATTAAAAGTTACCGGTTATTTGGAGCTGCACTGTTAATTAAGAAAGCCGAAGTTTAAATGGAGACATTAACAGAGCCCATTAGCAACACTGCCTGCATATAGCATTTTCCTCCTAATCTGCAGCGTTTTCGGGTTTTGAGCTGAAGCAAAAGGGAGAAGAGGGTGAGAGGAGGAGTGTCGGCAGAGCACTCATTACACTGTTCATTTGGGTGACACTTGCACTCTGTTCCGCTCCGTCTCATCTGATCCCTGACTGTTCGCTCTCTCCCTCTCGCAGCCTCCCGAAATTCACAGCTGAGCTGTCTCCCTCGCATATGGCTTGCATATAATTATGCACATTCCATTTTACACTGCATTAAAATGATGAGATCCTGGCTCCCTGCCAGCGTATTTAAATAAGCCCCAATGAGCCGGGGGTGGGGGAAGGAGTGGGGCCGAGGAAGGGATGTGGGGGGGACGCAGCACATTGCGGTTCCAGTCCCCACAACAAGGTGACGGCCAGGCCCGGGGGGCACGGCATCTCCACGGCTGTGGCAGCGCTCCCGCATCGTCCCTTCCTGTGTGGTGTGGTGTGAGCTGCTTGTTTGCACGTGTCGCGCTGCCAGCGCAGGGACATTTTTTTTAGTGTTGGCATTTGTGAAAGCTATTTGCACCTTGCACGTTGCACGGCTGGTTCGCCTGCAGAGAGGCTTCTGCCTCTCCTCTGGAGAAGAGCTGGGAAAGGGAAGCAGCGGGTGAGTGGTGCAGGGATTTTTGGGAAAACGTGACGGGGTTACACCAGCTGCACCTCAGCTCTCAGCTGGCTGCCCTGCAGCATTAGCAAAATTTGCCCAATGGAGACAAAGCAATTTTTAAAAGAGCAAACTTTGCCCAAAAGTATCTTTCAAACAGCATCTACTATCGGGAAATAGAAAAATAGCTTACAATGTGTGTGTCGTAGCAGCTCATATATATTTTTTTCTTTTGCTGCCTCAATAGCTGCCGTGTGGAAAATGTTTTACAATTTTCCTTCTAACCACAAAGAAGAGGCAAAGCATTCCCGAGCACCCCAAATCCCTTTCATATTGACAAAGGCTTAAATGTATTCTTCTAATTATTAACTTGGAACTGAACCGTGTCTCATACAATACATTTCCCTCCCATGCTGCATCAAATACCAAGCCCAAATCTGAACATATTTTATTAAAAAAATAAAATAAAATTGCTCATTTTTAAAACAAACTTGGTCATTTTCTCATCTCGCAGCCTGTGTGAAGGGACACGGCCAGCTGAGGCCCTTCCAAGCAGTTCAGAACTCAACACAAATGCCCTCCCAATGCCATGCACAGGTCAGCAACAGCCGCTCCAGCAGCAGCTCTGCCCTGCAGATACGGCTGCACCTCCATGCAGCCAGGTGGCAGAGACCTGCGGAGACCTCGCATGGGGCTGGATGGGTGCTGCACAGAGCTGGGAGTGCTGCCCCAGAGCCGTGCAGCCGTGTCTTGGATCTGCAGTGTACGCTGCACACGTGCCAGGCTGCAGGTTGCAGCCTGTCTCTTGGGGCCATGTCCCAGTGCACACACCTTGCAAAGTGAAATGGATAGCAGGGTGTTTGTGATGCACATGTCACAACACAGAGACAAAGCCCGCTGACCTTGAGCCACTTACCAAAACTGCTGGTTCAACAAAGGCTGCTTCTGCCAGCAACACGCTCCCCTCCTGCCTTTCCTTACTTCATTTAACTTCAGATGTCACCAAAATTTCCTTGTCTCAAAACCAGTTGAATGGCATACTGCTATCATTTACTTAAGCAGCAAAAGTATATTCGGCTAGCTCCTTTTCACTGGATAAAACACTTGCCTTCAGCAGCCAGACCTATTTCCCCAGCTGCCTCACATGAATCCATCACTACCATCTTCCAGTTGTAAATAATTTGTAGAAGGAAATACCCTTACAATGTTCAGTACCGTTATAAGCGTATTAAGAGCGGCTCAGAGTTTATCGTGTCACTGCAGCACTGTGATATGCCTGTATCTGTGCTGAGTCCCTCTCTGTCACTGCTTTACACCAGCAGGCACCTGCCCTATCTGCCCTGCCTCTCTGCCTCGCTCCCAGCACGCTGGCATCTGCAGCTTCTCCATCAGCCCTACTGGCATGGGGGACACTTTTGAGTGCTACCGTTCAAAAGAAAGCAGCTGAAAAAAAAGCAAATCAAATCTGTCATTTCCTGTTTTCTAAAATGCTTTTAAACCCCAATACTGTTACAGAAATGCTTTCAACAAAAAGTGCATGTCCAAAGTGCTAGATGTAATGAATGCATGTATGCAATATACGGTACGACTGCTCTCATAGCACATCTTGTTCCAGGTAATAAAGGCTTCAGCTCTTACTCAGCCTTGGGATCACGGTGAACACTCACTTTCATCAGCAGAAAACTACTTCAACTTTTCTGCGGCAACACCTCTCCTGGGACTTCCAAATCCCTCACTGAGCAGCCCCAGCTGGCAGGTAGCTGCCTATCGGCAGGGTGACATCCAGGAGGGGAACTCAGCACAGGGACTGCTGGCAGAGGAGAGCACATCACCCAGGGCACGTTGATGGCCAGGAAGATCTACAAAGGAGAGTACAGCCATCTCTGTGGGGCTGGCTTGACTTACAGGTTCAACATGATGATGGGTGGCAGAGGAAATTGTGGCCTTTAATTGCAGGTTAGATATCAGGAAACCTGTCTTAATGATAGGTACTGCAAAGCATTGGAGTAGATTGCCTAAGGAGGTTGTCAAAGCCCCATCACTAGAGGTTTTTAAGAGCAGATTAGGCAAACATCTGTCAGAAATGGCGTGCACAGAGTAGCTCCTGACTTGAGGAAGTGGGATGGATGAGTGCACCTCCTCTCCCAGGTCCCTTCCCTTGTTGTTCCCTGACACTGAGCTTTGGAGGAAAATGGCAGGAGGATAAGGGAAAAAAAAAAAAAAAAAGAAATCAAAAAAAGAACAGAAAGAGGGATCTGGAAGGGCCTCTCTGAAAATAGCACAGCATTTGATGTTCAGTGTGTACTCATTAATAAGTGCATCATGACAACTATCTTTGGCTACACAAACTGTGCTATCTGCTCATCAGCCAAGCAGCCTATATTTGTGAAAGATGCCAGTAGTTTGGAAACAGACTATATATCAAGTCAAGATTTCCTTTTTTAACAAGAAGGAGGAAGAACAATCTACAGTAGGATTTCCTTCTCTCCAAAGTGCTTCAATTTCTGCATGGATATTTGTTTCTTCGTAGAGAAAAAAAGAATATCTTGATCCAGATTGGGGATTTCTTAGCTTCAATGCCTTTTTATGCAGCCTTAATACTGGAAAAGGAAATCTGTGCTTGTAGCTAATACTAAGGGCAGGATCTCATGATAGTGTAAGTCACAAGGCAGGCTGAACAGAATAATTTATTAAGATGGAACTTGTTAATGCAAAGCTTTCACTAAAACGGGACAATGCTTTTGCAATAAAATCCTAATGCTAGGTCCACAAAAGTTTAATGCCACTTAAATGAGAACACCTAACATCTACTTTCTAGGAGAAATGTCCGATCGAGTAATACAGAGTGACAGAATATTAGCCTGCTTACTCTGTATAAAATTGCCATCTAATTTCCCTAAATGCCCTTTAAAATGGATGAAACACGTGGCAGCCACCCCTAGATATACTAAAGGCAGGCTGAGTGTCTCTGGTCGGACAAAAAAAGCCATGGCAAGTCAAACATCATCGCTAGAGAAGCACAGACAACTGCTGTATAGCTGGCATCCTGTTGTGATGAGAAGCCTGCATTGCTCTCAGTGTTATTGTCCTGGACTGGCTGCAGATGGGGCAGAGCACCATGCCTCCACATTCCCCACAGAGGTATCTCTCCAGCCAGAGGGGTGAGGAATTCCTCATCCTCCAAATGCATCTCTTGAAGGAAATCCTCAGGGAGACCCTAATCCTTGAAATTCCAGTTCCTGTGGCTTGCTGTTGTCCCACATAATCAATTGTCATGGTCTCTGTATTTGCTGCACCAGCAACGGTAAAAATAGTACTCCGCTTCCATCTGTTGAGTGTATTCTTTCCAGAAATGTGGACAGGCTCACTGTGGCCTGGGGCTTGGTGGGAGCACTGTGGCCCTGCACCCACAGCAGAGCCTGTCCAGGACCCCTGGCACCATGCTCCCAAGGAGCGAGTCCCTCTCTCAGGGAAGACCCCCGCTAATACTTCACGAGAAATTTGCTTTCCACGAGGATTCCCAGATTTTCCCGAATGGTAGAGCAACACTACCTGTGGGCTCACCACATTCCTCAGCTGCACACAACCCACAAGCCTCCACAGTTGTCATTTTTTGGCCATCCCATACCTTGGGCCCTCCCCAGGTGAAAGAAGCCTGTCCAGCACAGAGGGGCTTTCTGCCGCAAGCAGCTCTGAACATTTGGTG